GGGAGCCCTGAATCAATTTTGCTTCAAAAAAAAAAAAAAAAAAAAAAAGACCTGAATCCTTGGAACAAGCATCCGCTGGGAGGAAAAAAATAACGAAGATGGATTGTCCTTGGCTCTAGGAACCTTGAATTCAAGGGAGATGTCTGTCCCTAGGAAGGTCACCCCTGTAGCCAGGATGGGAAAGGAGCATCTATCTGTTCCCCCTCCAGAACAACCCGTGGAGATGCCCTGAGTCACATCAGCATCTTCTCTGCTGATCTGCAGTTATATCAATATTCATTATTCACAAGCCCTTCAGAAAACACCAGAAACTGGAGCCTGTGCATTGAGACATATCTGTGCATTGGGACATACTGTCTGCTCTTCCAGTCCCGTCCGCCTCTCTACTGCCTCCATACATCTTCTCCAAAGCAGAAGTCTGGTGACCTTTTAGTGTCCTAAAGAGAATGAGCAATCATTAACTTTCCAGTGGGCAAAAAGTAAAAAAAAATAATAAATAATAAAAAAATTAGAATCCACCAGTCCCTACACACTGTTTCAATAATGAGGTCAACAGGTAAATGGGATCTGAAATGAAATTACGACGTGCTGGAAGATATTCCCCTTGCGGACCCTAGCTGGCGGACAGGAATGGGAGAAAGCAGTATCACCATTGCAATAACAGAACGACAGCATGAGGAGCTGCATCGGCACTGCCCTCCTCTCTCGTAAAAGACTGCAGGTAGAGAAATTACAGTCAGAAATTCATTGTTCTCAATTGTTGGTATTTTGCCCCCCTCAAGGGAAAAAAAAAAAAAGAAAAAAAAAATCTTTCCTTCGGTTGGAGTTCAGAGTAGGGGATAAAAAGCGCTCGGAAAAACCTCCCCACATCTGGGGAGCCACAGCAAGAATTTAGCTGAGCTCAGCACACTTTCACGTACCTTTCTCACATGACTGAGGATGGCTATTTTTATTAAAAACAACCTTCAGAGCAAAACGCAAGTTATAAAAATAGGAAAAAAAAATGCAGCTGTACGAATCCCTGGGAGCAGGCGTTTCCAGACAACTGCTGTGCTCGCACACGAGCCACGTAACGCTGAAACCCAAGGTTTTTCTTCAGGCACCGCTGTGAAAACGCTCATTAGAAATGAAGATCCTTTTCAGTTTTCAGCCATCCTGGTTTTAATCAGTGTGTTGCTGGAGCAGTCCAAATAATTGTGTTCAGCTTTGCAGAAAACTCACTGCAACCAAACAGCAGCCTTGAAAGTTGCCCCCAACTTTACTGTCTTGAAGAACAGTGTTTTAAATACCCAATCTTGAATAAACGGATCAAAAAAGATGGGGCTGCTCTTGGTTTTAGTTTAGGCCAGGTATATGCAAGGGATGAACAAGTTCACACGAGACTTTGTATGATTTATCGAGCAAGGACTAGCAACTTTCAGCTTGTGCAAACCCCATTCAGCCAAAACCCTGCTCTCCTTCAAGCAGCGCAAGTACCAATATCCAGATAATTAGGGAGTTTCACTAAGCACCTTCTCCCTCCTCTTGTCAACTTTTTCCCCCATAAATTAAATGCAAAATCACTTAAATGCAGTGTTAGAGAACATCAGTTTAAATGCATAAAGGGTCAATTATATAAAAA